GGTCTGCAAGAGGCGTTGGGTTCTAAGTTGAGGTTGAGTTCGGCATATCATCCTTAGACGGATGGTTAAACTGAAAGGACTATTCAGTCGTTAGAAGATTTGTTGAGGGCATGTGTTCTTGAACATGGAGGTTCGTGGGACACTTATCTTCCATTAATAGAGTTCACTTATAATAACAATTACTATTATAGTATTAGAATGAAACCTTTTGAAGGGTTGTATGGTCGAAGATGTAGAACTCCTTTATGTTGGCATGAGTCTGGGGAAAGTGTAGTGATTGGACCTGAAATTGTTTGAGAGACTACCGAGAAGGTGAAGTTGATTCGAGAAAAGATGAAAACTTCCCAAAGTAGACAAAAGAGCTATCATCACAAGCTAAGGAAAGATTTATAATTTCAAGAGAGTGACCATGTGTTTTTGAGAGTCACGCCTGTGACCGGTGTTGGGCGAGCATTGAAGTCTAAGAAGCTCACTCCTCGTTTTATTGGTCTGTATCAGATTTCAGACAGATTTGGGAATGTTGCATATAGAGTGACTTTACCGCCTAACCTTTCAAATTTGCATGATGTGTTTCATGTGTCACAACTCCGGAAGTATATTTCAGATTCATCTCATGCGATTCACATGGATGATGTGCAAGTACAGGATAATCACTATGGAAATGATGTCTGTATGAATCGCGGATCGTGAAATAAAGACACTAAGAGGAAAATAGATTGCTTTGGTGAAAGTATTATGGTTAGGAGCTTCCGTAGAAAGAATGACTTGGGAGTTGGAGAGCAAGATGTGATAATCCTATCCCGAATTGTTTGAACAAGGTAAATTTTTGAGGACGAAAATATTCTAGGTGGAAGAGATTTCTAACGCCCGTTAATTTAATTAATTATTTAATTAAATATTTTCGAATTATTCGTTGAAGTTGTGAGATGTTGTGAATTGTTGGCATAAGTTTCTAGATTATTACTAGTTAATTAATTAGTTGATTAATAATAATAATAATAATAATAATACTAGAATTAGTAGAATAATAGAATAATTGTGTTGGGCGTATTTTAATGGTTAGAAGTAGAGATATTGGGGGTGTTGTTAAGCCCACTAAGAATAATAATATTATGAGGTTTTATTTAAATAAAGAATAGGGTTAATTGATAAGGAGTTGGAAATTGATCATGAGAAGTTGCAGAGAAGAGGAATAGGGAGAAGAGGCAAAGCAAGGTTTTCGATCAGAGAGTTATAAAGCGACCTTCAATCCAAGGTAAGGGTGGGGTTCTGAATCTATAATGAGAATCAAGATGAATATTATATAGGGATTGGTTGTGTGAATAATTTCTGTCGTGCGGGAAATTGTTGTTGTTTCTGAATTTCATGTTACCACTGTCATAATTTCTGATAACGTTACAGTAATTTCATCGATAAATGAAAGGTTTGAAATTAACCCATGGTTGGTGTAGTAGTTATGTTGTTTGTGTTAATCAATATTGTTTTGGTCAGAGATTTGTAATCGAATGAAATGTTTGGAAAATTTTGCGTTAGTATCAGTAACAGACTGAAGTCTGTGAGGGGCTAGAAGACACATTATGCCGAGGGGAACAAGTACTTGTGTCGAGCAGCACATGGCTGTAAGGTGTGCCGAGGGGCATGGTGTGTTCCGAGCGGAGTAGAGGCATACAGGGGAGGTGCCGAGCAGCATGGCCATTGTACCGAGGGGCACATGTCTTTATTAATTCTTTTTTTTATTCCTACGCATGTTGAGGGACACATATTTCTTTCTTATTCCTTAACGCTCCTGTGCATGCTAATTGGTTAATTATTTTCGTTTAACATTCTCAGTATAATGATTAAAGTTCTTAAGGTAATTTATCCCTAAATGATCAATGAATTACTAGTAAATATAAGTTAGTAGCAGGAGAGATAATAAAATTAATGATTAGCAGAAAATTATTAATAAGGTTATCAGTAGAAGTAATTTAGTAGAACTTTCAGTAGCAGTATTAGTAATAGATTAACAGGAGAACAAATTAGTAGCTAGTAACAAAAATAAAATAATTAATATGTGACTAGAAGTAAAATGTATGGAATTGAAGATAGTAGTACAGAACCGAAAACATTAGTATTTTAGCAGAAAATTATTTAGTTGGATATAGTCGAATTGCCCGAATAATTACGCAGAACGTCGTAGTATATTTTGGTTAATACGATGTATCATATACTTTGTCATAATTTGAGAATTGGCAGGTGATGATGAATTTTGTTGAGATGCCTCTAATTATTGGCAGATATTAAGTTGTAGGTTTATGGCCAATGTTGAATTGTTGTTGAATTATTGTTGTTGTTGTTGTTACTACATTCATACTGTTGTCACATACATAACATATCAAGTTGGGAGCTCATACTCAGTAAGTTGTCCTGGATGTACAAATATAAAGTTGAATGCTTATGCCTTGTTGATGCCTCTATTAATTGACAGATTATTAAGTTGAGAGTTTTTCTCTGTTGGTACCACATGTATGTGTATAAAAACAAGTCGCATTTTATGTTGCATCTTGAGTTGTTATGTGGGTGAATTGGTTATGTTAAGTGCTGTTAAAGAGCTGCGAAGTGGTGATTTTGTATGAACTGATTCTAATATATTATTTATCATACATTATATTATATTGTTCGATATCTCACCCCTTCTGTTTGAATGTTACCCATATGTTGGTAACGTGCAGGTAACCCAAAGTGAAGGTTGTTTACCTTCAGTAGTTCGAGTCGGTGTCGTCGCTATGATACATAACACTCGAGGGGATGAATTTTTGTTACTTTATTGTTGCGATTACTTCCGTTGATGAATTATAAATTGATTTACTATGTACTTTGTTTTTTCTAAAGTTGTTTTCAGTTGGACAAAGATGTTATGTCATTTGAATTGAAAATTGTGTTTCTGCTGCTTAATTGTAAAAGTTGTTTTATTCTAAAGACTAAATTATGTGGTTAACAGTTCATCCGAGTTTAAATGTTATGTACCTGTTTTACATGCGATTAAATGAAGGTGTTTCTAAGTAGTAAGTGTAACATCTTATTTGTGTGTCGAAATTTTGTAACTCTGATTTTAATATTATTCGTCGGGTAGAAATGGGGTGTTACTCACCGTGCCAAGAATTTTCAAGAGAGGAAACCATTGACATTAAAAGGATGATGGCATAAAAATATTAACCCATTTGTTAATAAATTTCTTGGGTGCTACAAGCAAGCCCTGGATTTAAAAAAAAAAACAGGAGCTTTGAGAGAAACATCATTTCAACTGCATATGATATTTATTACCAAGACGAGCGTGAAAAAATTACATTTGAAAGTGCATGGAGATTATTGAAAGATGAACCAAAATGTCTTGCAGGTTTATTGGAACCTTCTACAAAAAGAACAAAGAATTCAGCTTCTGGAGCATATTTATCATCTTCTAACCCTCCAACACCAACAAGCAATGAATGCAATCCCCCATCACCTTATTTGTTACGTCGTCCAATCGGTCAAAAGGAAGCCAAGAGAAAGGAGAAAAAGGCTAATAGAAATATCAACGCCCAATGTTAAATATTGAAATGAATTGATGTCTTAGTTTGCACGTGATTATGCACATATTGAAACTGAAAAAGTTGAGATAGAGAAGAAAAGAATGGATGCAGAGAAGCATAAGGCTGAGAGAGATATGGTAAGACTGAAGATTAATGATTTGCAAATACTTTCAATGGATACATCAAATATGAATTCAAGACAACTGAAAGCTCATGAGTTATTATGTGACATGATTAGAGGAGAATACATGCTTGATTAATACGATTATATATGTTGAATAATTTTTAGATTCACCTTATTATTACATTGATTTTAGTATATCACTAGTTATTTTTAGATTCCCATATGTTTTTAGTATTAAATCTCAATATTATTCAAACTATCCGTTATTCAAACTCAATATTATTCAAACTAGTCGTTATTCAAACCAGCTGTTATTCAAACTCAATATTATTCAAACTAGTCATTATTCAAAGTAGTCGTCATTCAAACTAGTTGTTATTTGTAGCCATATGAATACTCTTAACATGAGTAATAAGCTTCACACTCTTTTCTAACTTAACTTCCTCTTAATTCAATATTGAAATTCTCTTCACATGGATCCTTCCAACTCTTCTCACATTGCAAAAATGTTTATGGATTATATGAACAATGATATGGATGAAGAATTTGTAAGACTTTACTTTAAAAGTGAAGCGCAAGAAGAAGTTGCGAGTTCTAGTAGGCCTAGACGCCGAAGAAGGAATATAAAGAGGAACCGTGAAGAAGGACACGAGTTTTTACTCAATGATTATTTTTCAAAAGCACCGGTGTACATAGATGGGCAGTTTCGTCGAAGATATCAAATGCATAAACATGTATTCCTTCGTATCGTCAAAACTCTTGGTCAACATGATGAGTATTTTCGACTTAAAATTGATGCAATTGGTAGATCAAATCTTTCACCACTACAAAAGTGCACTGTAATTATTCATATGTTGATATATAGAACATCTACTAATAGTGTATAATAGTGTAGATGATTATTTTAGTATTAGTGAAACCACGACACTAAAATGATTTTCCCGTATAATAGTATAACAAACCACATGGATGTTTAAACCCATCAATGTTTGCAGAATTTGATAAAAGAAAAAAGAGATTGCTTAAAATCATGACATATCATTCCTTTTCCTTATATAGTGAGAAAGTAACAGCATTTTTTTGTTACATAGGATTCTTCGCCAAAGTGGATGTTTCAAACCTTCTCTCTCTTTCCTCAAATTCTAACTTCTACCTTCCCCACCTTCACTCCATCACCTAGTACTAAATCGCATGAAGTTTCTATTCTCCCGTCCTTTCTTGGATTCTCATCACACTACTAACTACAATATCAACCACCCCATCCTAAATATAAATTTATGACCACTACTTAATCATCTCCAACAAAGTTATTATATTGATTTCATATGGAAATTCATGATCATGAAGAGAAACAAAAACAACAACATGAAGAGAAACAACACAACAATGTAACTTTAGATTTGAAGATAAATATTCCATTGTACGAGGAAGAGCAAGATATTGATTCATTAAACGATGGTTTCAAGACTCCAACAACCATGGAACACAAAATTCAAGCGATTCTTCCACCTACACCTAGAAAGCCAAAACAACATCGTCCATCCAAGAAACGAAAAGGTTGTTTTCGCCATCAACTTATTCTAGATCTATCTCAAGATATCGAATCCATGATTTCCACTCCTTTAGATTTGGATCTTGATCCTGTTGATAAGAATCATAAGAAGGTCAAACGTTTTTAACATATTGATCATAATCATGTAATGGTCACAAAAAAATATGCATGTGGAAGTGGTTGAGTTGATTGAGCCATGACATCTTTTAATTTATTGATCATTAATTAACTAGTATATGTTATGTATCTATCTAGTATTCATGTGTGTTAGGTTGTATAAATTTCCATTTATTTGGATAGTTTGATTAACTGCAAAATATATATATATATATATATATATATATATATATATATATATATATATATATATATATATATATATATATATATATATATATATATATATATATATATATATATATATATATATATATATATATATATATATATATATATATATATATATATATATATATATATATATATATATATATATATATATATATATATATATATATATATATATATATATATATATATATATATATATATCTTATGTCTTTTTTTTTTTAGTTTAATCAACACGTTATTCATCCGATTTTGTGGTTCTGATAGACGATTTACTAACTAAATCTTTTTTTCATCAAAAATCGATATTGAATAGCATTCGAACGATTATATCTTTTTTTTTTTTTCCAGAGATAATATATTTTCTCTTTTTACTTTTTACTAATTAATTAGTTAATTTGTATGAAGATTAGCAAAAATTAGATTTCAAGTTCATAATTGATAGGGAATCTATTGATTAATTTGGATGTGGTAGGGTTACTATGAGAGTTTATCCTAATTGTTTCATTCTATTTCTTGGTTGGATCCAAAGGAATGATTGAATTGACTTTTAAAAAGAAACTGAAATCATTCAGAAAATGAAAATCAAGAGTAATTGACTTTCTCAAGGCAGAAACATTCTGATCTAAAAATCAATCAAATCATTGCTTGTTTAATTAGTGCGCAAACTCACGCGGAATGGGAGCCACAGTACTCAATTACACGAAACAACAAAACCAGCCACGGTCACTAACTTCACTTTCCTCAACTTTTACCTTGTTCGGTTATATGCTAAAATGGATTGTTTGCACACATCAATTCCTCTTCTTGATGCTTTCTTTGTTAAAGGACTTTGTCTTGGAGCCCTTTCTATTCTAAATTTTGGAAATGTTTGAATAAACTGTATTTCTAGCTTGTAACACAAGTGTTTATTAAAATAAGTCCTTAGAAAATATATTTAATTGTTTATATATATATATATATTATAAGTCATTTTCATTAGCTATCTTAAAAAATTTATATTAATGCTTTTCGTTTGACCATCTCATGATTGTTGCGCTAACAAATAATATTTGAGTAAGTGGGATTATTTCCCATTTTGTGAACTCACACTTTACTTTGTGAGAGACACACCACTTATTCATTTAAACCTTTAAGGTGATATGTGAGTGAATTATTCTAGTTATAAATATTCAAGTCACCACATTCATATCCAATGTGAAACTATTTCCTCACTTAATTACAATTGCATTATTATTGTAACAAAAGTCTCATGAATTAGTCACCACTACTTTACTTTAATTCTAAATTAAAAAATAATAAGATGTTACCTCGGTTGAACTTAATAATCAATGGAAAAACTATCTCAGGGACACGCTTAGAATTCCAACAATTATAAATTATATTTTTATTTCTTTTAAAATGACGTCATTCTTTTTATTTTATTTTTTAATTAAAAATTAAGTAATCTATTCCATCAGATATAAAAAGAATCGAGGAAAAACTTTCTCAAGGACACGTTTCAAATTCTAACAACTGCAGTTTATTTTCTTATATCTTTTAAAATGGATACATCATTTTTATTTTATTTTTAATTAAAAATGAAGTCATCTAATCCTTCGGTTATACAAACAATCAAGCGGAAAAAATTTATTCATTCATTTTTTACAATAAAACTATTCCTTCATTCAACTTTGCCTTAAACCTAACACATTCGCTACCACTCCAAACTCATAAATATCATTCTTTGGAATTGATTGCAAAATTGAAAAATTGTTGAAAGTTTACTAACAATGAACCATTTTTTTTCTGCTCTTACAATCTATCTCATAGATTGATATTGTTGTTGTTGTTGATTTCACCTCGCGCAATCTGTAACACTCCGTTTTCTTTAAATTATTTATTTAATTTATTTTGTGTTTTATTTAATTATTTAGATAATATTTTTGCATTTGATTGATGATTAGTGATTTAACATGTCTATGTGATGTTTGGGGTTGGTGGAGTATAATTATATTTATTTAATTAAATAAGTAGAACTAATATAATAGAATAATTAGAAGATTGTAAGAGTAAGTTGAGGGTAGTAAGAGAATAACCTATGGAAGAATTATGTTTTTCTTTAAAATGTTAGAGGTGAGAAGTGAGAGAGTTTAGAGTATATATTTTGGAAAAGAGAAAAAAAAAGGCTAGAAGAGGCAAGGGCTTAGGGAGAACAAACTGAAGAACAAGGTTTAATTGCTGGAAATCTAAGGTAGAGGGAGATTACTCTAAATATGGTGTTGATTGCATGATTGGGTAGGGAGAAGTCTTAAATCCTCATTATGTTTTCTCTATTTTTTTCATTGAAGAATGATGAATAGGATTAATGTGATTGTTGTGATAACATGGGATAATTATTGTAATAGTTGTGCAATTCATGGACTGATTTTACCATAAAAACTACATGCTCTGTTCATGAAAGTGATATGAGTTGTGTTCATATGAGTTACATGATTATGATGTCAATATGTGATATATTGTTAATTTGTTGTTTTAATCATCAGATAATTATCGTATGTCGAGTTCTGAGATCGAGGGTTTTTATGAAATCGAAATCGAAGGTCTGAAAGACCTCCAATGATGAAAAATGGGTTATAGGCGTGTTTTTCGTGCCAGTAACCGATTACGCACTGAGTGTAACCGGTTGCCACTGTTTGGGGTGGTAAATTGCATAATTGAAAATGGTGTATCTTGATTATGTTTACTTAGGGACATGATTATGTTGTGTTATTTGTTGTGTAACACTAATTGATGGTTAGTGACGATGAAAATATTCATAATTATTGGGATCGACTAAATTGGTGAATTTGGATAATAATTGGACGTATGTTGGTGAAAATAATTGACTAATTGACTTATTATATATGTGATTATAATAATAAATCAATTATACTATTTTATAATGTTATGTACTTTTGGTGATTAATTATGTGATATGTACATAATCGGGATTATTGTGTTATGGTGTTTAATTCAGATGTGGGAACTACTCTGTTATTGTTGTGCATGATTATTTACAGTTAGATGTGAAACCGTAAATTTGTTGTTAAGTTGTTATTGTTGTGCATTATATTATACATGGATCATATGTTGTCGTTGATGTGAAAGAGGAAAGTCATGAGTTCAGATGAGGGGACTAGTGACTTGTCCAGAGCTTAGATGAGGGAGTTCGGGATTCAGATGTTGGGACGTGATTCATATGAAGAACCTTTATTGAGTTAGTACCACATGCATTAGTTGAGTTGTTATCTGTATGGATTTACATAAAGGTTGTGCGAACGAACGTTTCGTGTTGTTGTGCAAATGGGTTGTTTTGGCTAACGTAGATGATTTATCCTAATTGATGTGCAAATGAGTTGTTTTGAGCGTATTATCACCCCTTTTTATTTGTGGTATTTTGTGCTCCTTCTTGGAGTACATACAAGAAGATAAATGAGTAGTTGCTTTACTGCTGAAGGTCGGAGTTGAGACTATTCTTTCTTTCCATTTTTATGCGATTTAGATTTCATTACTTTAATATGTAACAACGGGCGGGAAAACATTTATGATTTATTTATTATGATTTGTTGTTGCGAGAGTTAGATGTTATAACTCCAGATGTTTTGCGTTGTTTTTCATGTTGAAGGAATTTTGCCATAAATGAATTTAATTTTAAAAGAGATTTAGTATGAGACTTAATTGATTAATGAGTTGTTTTATTCTTTAAATTATGTTGCAATGAGCCTATGTAAAAGCGGGAATATGATGAAAGATGTTTATTATATGATATGTTTTATTTAAAAAGTGTTACAGAGGAAGTTTATGATGAGATTGTGTGACACCCTATATGTGATTAATTGTCTATACTCAAATAATTCGTAATATTACGTGTTGGGGCTTTAGAGTGTTACATAATCCATTGTTATATTTGAGAATAAGTTTTCAGTGTTTTCATCTAATGCAAAAATTCAATGATTTGTTACTTTCCTTAGCTAACAACATTGAGAAACCTATTCTTAATCATGATGAGAACATATTGAAATCCAAAGCGAAGATGGTGAATGATAAGAAGTTGTAAGTGATATATATTCCTTACAGTCCAACTTGTTTTTTGGTATGTAATGAGTCTTTTCCCTCGTTTGGGTTGATAACCGAGGGGAAAGGTCCACCAAAAAATTTGTTTATCCATTAAAAAAGTGGCTTCTTCAGTTTTGTCGATAAAAGAATATTTGTTGTCCACTTATGAATTAACAATGGTCAGGATATTACCAAGACACCATCCACATGAAACATCAGTGATCCGCGTGAAACTCTCACTAGTCAATCAAAACGTGAATGAACAAAGATATATCTTGGATGCAAAGCCCTGAAATGAAATAGTGATAATGGAAGCATTTGGATTTAAAATAGTGAAATGCAAACATAGAAAAATGTGGAAACAGTTTCTTTGATGGATTGCAAGAGCAGAAAAAAGTTTTAAGTTTAATATTGTTTCCTACATAATCTCTTATCTTGTGAATGCTAACATTATTTTCTTCATCTAACATTTATTAATTTTATATCACAAACAAATACAAACAAAATCATTGAACTTGAAAAGCAATGAGTATGCAACAAAAATTAGAAGTTGAGCTTTTACAACTTCAAAAACATGATGATGTTAATGATGATGATGATGATGATTGTAACACCCTAATTTGTCCCCGTATAATTATAATTTAAATTAGAGCAAATATAAAAACATTCATACAATTAGGATGTCACCTTTAAACATACACA